CTATGATTCTATGATATGTGAGACCATCTGTGTGTGGTCATCAGGCTAGTGTGTTCCACTGCCCTTAAGATGGGTAACATCCTTTACAAGTGGTACACTAACACCCGCCATACCTTGTGCACATTCAATGATGTTTTCAACTTTTTCTTTCCTTATACCACACCTTGATAATATTGGGGTCCCCATCTTTGACAGGTCAATTAATCACTTACACATTATACTCATTAACATTTACATCAGTTAGTTGCCATAGTACACCTGCAGTTAGTACATGTAAGTTTCAGTTAAGATCAACATCCTTTTAAACTTTCCCTAAGATTCCAAAGGAATACTTTTTTGGTACCTCACTTCACCTTTTCTCATTATGTACCACTTTTGTTTACTGTAATACTTATCTTGTGACTTAAGGTCAAATTAATTGGTTAAAAATAATTAACTTAGTAACTATCCACATCATTACTACCATTTTATATCCAGGCCTTATCTATGCTAAATGAATTGTCATACAGGCCTGAGGCCTGTAGGCCCTTGAGTTACAACCTTATAATGCCTATTTATTAATTTATAAATGGCTTTTACATATATGGCTGGCTACCATTTCAATATATTTGAGGATCTGGGCTTAGTGCAAGTAACTACAAATAATTTTATTCCTGGCAATGTCATTTTAAAGGCATATGCTTTATCAAATTAGCTGGCTTTACCTCTTCCTAAAGTGACTCCATTATATATATATTTGTGCAATTTGTATTATTTGACTTTTGTACTAAGCTGTGGATCCAATGATGGTGATATGAGAGCCATATCTTGTAAACTCTTACCTATATGAATAGTCCTCACTGATTGATTTCCATAGGATTCTCTACTCTTGTGGGTAATGTTACTCATGTGGCTAAGGATCTGAAGAACAAAGCATCTATTCATTTTCTAAAAATAGTTCAACTTGCTATTTAGAGCAGATAGCATGGGCTAGTGGTTAGAGGAAGGTGCTGGAAGTTGTATGGACTTTCTTTTCAGCTCTGTTGGACTCTTTTCTGGTCTTTTGCTCTCTCTCCTATCAGTAGAAATTGGACAGTAATACCAACCCTACTAGGCTTACTTCAGTAAGGTTTTAAAATTCTTTGAGATCCTAGAATGGAAGGGGCTATATTAATGCAAAGTAGTAGTATTTAAAAATAGCAAATGGCAGTTATTTTCACTGCAGCCTTCAGAGTCAGGGGATTGAAGGGTTTGCTTTAAGGGTTGGGTTGCTTGTCCAAGAGGTATAGATTGGAAGAGACAGAGAATAGCGGGGGTACAACAAGGAGGATCTCTCCATGAAGTGGCTACCTCAGTAGTTCAGGAACCTAGGGGAAAAAGAAATAAGACAGCTGAATGTCCACAGGATTCTGCAAAGGTGAGAGACAGAAGAGAGGCTCATTCCATGGAATGGAGAGGAACTCTACTCCCTGGATTCTGCACTCTCTGGACACTATCTCATGGGCATGGAAGTAATTTCAACCTTAGTTTAACCTTTCTCAGCCATTCAGGTAGCAGCTTTCTTCCAAGCCACTTTAGGAGTCTCTCTCCCTGACTCTTAAAATGCCATGTTATCAGCAGCCAGGTTTTTCTTTTGTGTTGTGTATATTATTTATTCAGTCACAATTAAGAGTCTTCTAGGGAGAATCATGACAGGTGAATTGAAACCTTGTGGACTCAACTCACCTGAAGTCAATGGTCACATTTATGCCCACTGTTGAAAACTACCAGTTACACAGAACTATATTAACTTACCATAGAAACACCTCAGCTAATAACGGAGTATGTTGAACTGACTAATTACATTGTGACACACAATGAAAAATACAGCAACGAAGGTGACAGTTCAGCAACAGCAGATGCTGCACAAAAGAAAAATTAGAATATTATTATTATGCAAAATGCTCTTAGTTAAGGTGCTTTTTAATTAATCACAATTGGTGAAAATATTATAGAAAATGCAGAGTTAAATATATTGTAACAGGTGTTTAGGAAGCATCTTTAAAACCCTAAATGGTCTAGAACTTGGCAGCTTGGGAAAGTGTCTCTCACTTTATAAAATACCATTACGTTTAAGACTGGTAAACTCATCAGGGTCAATAACAGAGCTTTCTTGGTTCAAACAAACAAAAAACCTTTCCCTATGAGAAACCCTCCTTATGGGTCCACCAGAGTCTGAATTTGGTGTAACCCTCAGGACCTACAGATTTAGATAATTAAGATTTTGATTTATTTTAGCTTTGGTTCTGTTTGTACTGCTGTTAGCCAGTCAGAGCATAGGCAAATGGCAATTGTTGATATCTGTAATGTACCTTGTCACTTTAAGTTTTAAATTGTACCAGAACCCAAATGACAAATATATAGTTGGAGAGAATGTATGTGTATATATGTGGAGATATCTAGGTGATAAATTGCACAGACATGATAAAGAAATGTATCCCTCATTTTTAACCACAACCCTTGTCCGCTTCCGACTAAGGTTCCTATCCTTCAATGAGCTCCCAGTCAAGTGTTGTATGTATGCTGTGGAAATGCATAGTGAAAGATTCTCTACATTTAAATTGTACCCGATTTTTAAGTATAATATTTAATGATTATGTCATCAAAAATATAACTTTATATCTATGTCATCCACAACTGTTTTCCTATAGATTTTTTTTTTTATCTAAACATTTTCCTATCTAAATTCTAACTTCTTTTTGGTCCAATTAAGGCCAAGATGCAGAAATAAATGACACCTATAGGTGGCGCTGTGGTTAAAGTACACCTGGATTTTGATTACAGTGACGTTTACTTTTTGCTCTTTCAAAGAGATAACGCAGTTTTCATATTAGTACAAATACACCATCTGCAAATAAATATCCCCAACTAAAATCTTCTCACAAACACACGTATCAGAGGGGTAGCCGTGTTAGTCTGAATCTGTAAAAAGCAACAGAGGGTCCTGTGGCACCTTTAAGACTAAAGAAGTATTGGAGCATAAGCTTTCGTGGGTGAATGCCCACTTCATCAGAAAGCTTCACCCACGAAAGCTTATGCTCCAATACTTCTGTTAGTCTTAAAGGTGCCACAGGACCCTCTGTTGCTTTTCACAAACATACGTGACTGTATCACTTCTAAATTAGTTTTACAGAAACAGCTCTAAGATTTTGTATTGCCCTGGGCACTGTCACACACTGTGGCATCATCACTAAACATTTTACTGCCTAAAGCAACCAATTGCTCCACCTGATGAGGTAGGCCTTGGACACTTATGACTAAATGTTCATTTCATTCTAGTGTTGGGATATTTTTAAAAGGTACCTTACATATTGCCACTAATTGTGCCTTATTAAAAACCTGGATTTAACTCTGACCAACATAAATCTGGTGTTCTAACTTTAATTATTGTTGTTTACATCAAATCCTAAAAAAGGAATTTGAGATTATAAACTTTTTATGCTAAATAAATGAATCCTATATATCTGATTATTTATCTCACTCTTTTAGCTGTGTTTAGCTCTGTAAAGCATATTGCCATGCACTATGTGAGACTATACTAGATAAGAGACTAAACCTGAAAAAAGTTACCCCTAGACTCCCATTACTTGCAGGGATTACTGTTTGCAGGAATAGAACCCCCAAAGTTGTGTTGTATTATATGTCAGTGGTTTTCAACCTTTTTTCATTTGTGGACCCCTAAAAAAACAAAAAATTGAATGGAGGTGTGGACCCCCATTGGAAATCTTAGACATAGTATGCAGACCCTCAGGGGTCCGCAGACCACTGATTGAAAACCACTGTTATATTTAAAGCTTCTTTCATTACTAATTTTTAGTTGCAGTGTCTGTCCCCCCTAGATTTGCCTGTGTTGTGTGCTATGCTGGGGACTTGAGAACCTGCAATTAATATTTAATTTTTCCACTATGTATAGCTACTGAATATTAGTTCCTCTAATTGGCTTTCATACTGTTTGGGTTTCTTTTTGGAGTAGCAGTAGTACCTTTCAAGTGGCACACTGTGCAGTTAACTGCCAGCCAAGTGTAGAACATATTCCCCCTTTAAACCTTTATGAAGTATTAATAATACTGTCTTATGTAGTGGCATTCATTTTTAAGTAGAACTTCCCATTGATTTCAGTGGGGAGTACTTAAAAATCAATGGCTTGATATGGTCTATCCCACTGGCAGAATTAGAGAGCCACTTTACTCGCAACTCCCTTCCCCGTCTTTTCCTTATCAAAGGGTCAAATTCTGGCCTCCGATACACTTCATGGGGAGCTGTGTGTGTATAGAATACGGTCCCAAGTGCCTGCTCTAATTTCTGAACAAAAGTATCCGGATAAACTAGATTAGGACTTGATCCTGCAGCCCTTGATGCCAAAGGAAGCAGAATTGTCTCTTTAGTGATTATGTGTACCCTAGCCCCCTCCGCTTCACTTAAAGGAGACGAGTAATATTACCCACCCATGTAAAGTGCTTAGGCAGAAGAGCTCTAAATATAACCCCATGGAAGAGGAAAGCCCAACAGTTGGCGTGTGGGCATTTGTTGTACAGACGGTAAAAGGGCTGATAAAGGGCAGGTAGGAGACACTTAAAGAGGACCCACTGCAACCTGTTCCCAGGGGGGTCGCTATGCGATCAAAAATGATTCTCTCAAGTTCCTGAAGGGCCGCGGGGGGTGGGGGGGAGGAAGGGGCAGTAATATTACGAGCCTCCCCCCAGAGCCGGCAGCACAGTCAGCGAGGGCAGGGGACGCTCAGCCCCCCCCCGGTGACGCTGATCAGCAGCACCAAGCACAGCCTCTCCTCGCTCCCTAGCCAAGCCAGGCTGCTGCTTCCCACCTGACTCCCTCCTTCCTCTCCCTGCCCCTTCCCCCCCCACTCGCCTTCGCTCATTCCTTTGTCTTGGCGGGGATTGGCAGGTTTTATTATTCCGCCTGAACAAGCGGGGGGCGGATTGGCTGCGCGCGGCTGACGGTAGGAGCAGAGCCGGGATGTAGTTGGGATTTTGCTCTGTCAGTAACACATGTGGATGGGCGGCGGAAAGAGACGCGCACGGAGAGGGGGCCTCCCTGCGAGTCCTGCCAGCGCCGCCGCCACGGAACCCCAGCGGTAGCAGCAGCGGCTCCTCGCCCCGGCCCCTCTCCCGCTGCCCGTGTGCGGGGCTCCGAGGCGCTTTCCCGAGCGGCGGGCGGTTGGTTCTCTGCTGCAGGAGGCTCCGGACCCGGCCAAGGAGGGTGGAGGTTGAGGGCGGGGGGAGCGATACAAAGTGAAGCCACATTGCCAAACTTACCCAGCGATTGCAGCGGCGCCCTGCGCCTACAGCCCAGCGGCCGGGACTGAGCGCCGCGGCTCCCCTCCAGGAAGCGGGGGCTGGAGGGAGGACTCTGCCGCACGTCTCGCGTCTGTATTTTGCCAGCCGGGCTGCACTGACTGGCGTGGGGGGCTCTGCCGGCGGACGCGAGCCCCAGCCAGCGAGCATTGTGTTGGTTCTTTGCAAGAAAACCGCCTCCCCCCCGATACACCACCCTATAAACCAGAGCGACGCTGCTCCCCGACCTCTTGCAATATAGAGGGGAAACAGGTAAGGAGGTTCTTTTTTGCATGCGCTCTGTCTTCTTTGGCGCTTCCCCCCCCCCCAATCGTCTCGGATTTCGAGTAAACTCAATCGGTCGCCTTAGATAAGGAGGGTGCCTGTAAACTCTGGGGGAGCCGAGCAGCAGCGGGGCCGGACGCACTGTAGCTGTCTCTGCTTACAAAAGGCTCCTTTGCTGCTGCTCTGGGCTGCTTTTTCCCTCTTCCCGGCGGCTAGAGGAAAAGGGCTTTGCCTGGCTCAGTGGTGAACTGAGGGAAAGAGGAGGGTGTGAGGACCCGCCACCCGCTCTCTTTGTAGTAAACACTATTTTGAAACAGTGGCAGGAAAGATCAAAGTGAGCTCCCTAATTCTCTCCTTTCCAATTCCCTGCCTCCCGCCCCCCCGTCTTTTGTTTCAATCCAGGAGAAATCCGGCGAATCACCTAATTAAAACCAAGACATGAATTAAGCATCCATTTTTTTAAACTACAAATTGCCAGCTCTGCGCTTGTCCCTCCCTTGGTCTCCATTAAAAAACACCAGAGACATTGTTAAAAGGGGGGTTATTTTGCCTCTAGCTGCCAGCTCTGCTTTCTATTTCACTGACTCTATCCCAGGACCTAAATTGCTTGGCTATGTAATTACTAGAGTAAGCCTATTTAAGTTAAAAGCTTCCCCCCCCCCTAACTCTAAATGAAACTTGATGAGGGCCCGTCCTTAGTTATCAGGGGAGTCACTTTCTGGTCAGTCCTCTTGATTCATCTCTTTTAGATTTAATCAGCATTAAGGTATTGCTTGTCCTTAAGAGCTTTAGCTTAATGGGGTTACTGGATGCCTTTCTCAGTGTAACGTTTCCTTTTTTAAAATACAGTATATATTTACTGTTCAACAAGACTGGGGAAAGGCAGCTTGGAGTCTTGGGTTTTTAAGAGATCTGAAGTGATTTAAAACGTTAAAAAAGGTTTAAAGTCTCAAAGCAGGAAATGTAGCTTCGCTTAGGTTATGGATAGAAACTGTTAACAAAAGGCAATTCCTTGAGCAAATGCATCAGAAATCAATTTACATAAAGGTATATGATGCATTCAGATAAATGCAATGCTAATGGCTTTTAGAGTGGTTCTCTTTTCAAAGTCTCAGGGTTTTTGTTACAGCTTAATTGGTGCAGTTCTTCTGGTTTATTGTGCGGTCACTGGACAGAAGTTCAGGAACTCTTTCTGGGGAAATGTGTGCTTAAAATCGGCCTATTTAAGGAATGTAAGTTCTGGCTCCCTGTAGCCAAGTTGGGCCAGTGGGCAGGAAAAGTTCGCCCTCCCTCCTTTGGAGGTATCAGTCTGAATGGCTTTAGCAGATAGCCAGATGCCTCGATATGAGCACATACGGTTTACAAAGGACAAAGACAAAACATGCTGCTTAATTGGCAGTAAATAACTTGATCTGTTTATACTATAAATGACTAGTGGAACACTAGGAGCTTATTGGACTCTGGATTGGAGGCAACAAATTAATCGGTTTAGAATAAGCTTTATGAATTGATTCCTATATTATCTCCCAGTTGTCCCGCTTGTAAAAAGCATTTATTAGAAAGTGAAAAAAGCACTTTAGCAGTTTTGGAGGCAGCCATGATCCAGCCTGAGTGTGGTGCACTTGAATGTTCTGGTCTATTGTATTATCAGTAAACTTTTTTTTTTTTTTTTTTTTTTGGCGTAACAAAGGTTTAGCATTTAAATTGCTGATCAAGGGCAGATTAGCGAGACAAAAGTGGAGAGTGTTTGTATAGGAGTTCTAAAGTTCAATTATCTTTTATTCAGGCCAGTGTCTTAAAAAACCTAGAGAAAACACTCCACTGATCGTCTAAATAAAAACGAGATCTGGGACAATCATGGAGCCGGCATTACAATGGCTTGGAGATTTGAAAAACCCGTTTCACAACTTTTCACGCTGCCCATATCTCTCCTTTAGCACAAAACCCCTGAACTGTTCCCAACTTGTGAACTGCAGCTGCATTTCCCAGAGCTCTGCCTGCGCAGGGAACATGGCTTCAGCAGGGCTGCGGGCCAATTTGCTGTTCGCTCCACTCTCCCTTTTTCATGTCAATCGTGCCGGACCCCTGGGACTCCAGGTGGGGTACGAAGTTCGGTGCATGTTGCCCAGTGTGCACGTGCATTTGGGGTGCACCAGAGCCTCGTTTTAAGAGGGTGACAGCAGTAAAGCTCAGGCCACCGGTGACAAGTTGGGAGGGAGGCAGGCTCGTGGATCCAGAACAAAGCCCCAGACAAGTAACGGAGTGTGCTTTTGCACCATCCTCCCCCTCTGCCCCCCACTTCCCTCTACCGCACCGGGAAAGGCATGGACACGATTCATGGCTTGGAGTTAACCACCTCCCCCCCACCCTTTCTCTTCTCCTTACACAGACCATGGTGAACCCGGGCAGCAGCTCACAACCTCCCCCGGTCACTGCTGGCTCCCTCTCGTGGAAAAGATGCGCAGGCTGCGGGGGGAAGATCGCGGATCGCTTCTTGCTCTACGCCATGGACAGCTACTGGCACAGCCGATGCCTGAAGTGCTCCTGCTGCCAGGCTCAGCTGGGGGACATCGGCACCTCCTGTTACACCAAGAGCGGTATGATCCTGTGCAGAAACGACTACATCAGGTGAGAGAGAGGCTGCCCAGCAAGGGGCGGGGAGGAGCAACTCTGTACCTGCACGCAGGATAGCAGAGGAGAGGTCAGGCCAGTTCCTGCAATCAGAGACACAGATTGGTCAGTCCCTGACTTCGGGGGGAAGGAAGGTAAAATCTCGAATAATTCTGGCTCTTTCTCCAGCCACAGTTTGGGCTGCCCAGCAAAGAGAAGAGATTGGAGGGCCTGTAATTTTAAAAGTGCTTGTCAGCACAAAACAAGTCCTAACTAAAAATAAACAGCAATCAGAAAGGCTAAATTAATCTGCTTTGTTGTAATGGTGAAGTGTGAATCTCTAAACGGTAAATGTTAAAATCCTGGGCTTGAATAAGGCTGCGGTAGAGGTGCTAAATAATGAAATGCCTGCCTTTTAGTATCTGATTAATTATGATATTTACATAAGCACCTTTAAACTCCTTTGAGTGGAAACAGAATGACTCATTCTCTGTTCTCTTTGTAAAAGCGCTGATTAACCATCAGTTGGAGGGCCAGAGATTCTGCTTATAGCCAAAAAAAACAGTGGTAATGTTTGTCTCAACATTGTTAGAGAGAGGCTTTGAACCCACATTTCTCTAACTTTCAATATAGAAAAAGCTGGGAGAATCTAAGGGAAGTGATTTCCTTTGTTTTAAATAGTTCACATGCCTCAGATTTGGGGGATGGCTGGGGAACTAAACCCCATTAATCTTATATCAGTTGAAGTACAGTACAGTATCCTGTCCAACAAGTTTAATTGCAATGAATGGAAAAAATTCAGGAGGTCAGGTGCCTATAGGATCTTTTCAGGTGAACTCAAGCTCCTTAAACTCATTAATTTAAAAGGAGGCATTTTGAAGGATTACACATTTAATTTGAGTAAATGCTTTGATAGACTGATGCACATGAATGCTTTAAGGAGCAGTTCTATTTCAATATCCAATAATTAAAAAACAAAAAGCCAAGTCCCTACATTCTGGCATAAGAGAAATTCCTAGTTAAGACAGTTGTTTTGTTTAAATGCGTTTGACTTTTCATTTACTGTAAATGTCAAGAGTTACTCCAGGTTTATCTTTCAGTAAAGGTTGAAAAGTTTTCCTCCCCATGTGTAAATCATTTGGCTATAAATATTCCAAGTTTGTTTCTAATGAAACACTTACCTTGTACTCCAAATTGTGAGAGATCTGGATGTAGCACTGTGCTGCATTTGTGGGAATACTTTTTTCTTGGAGACCTCATTAAGTTAAAATAATGGAGTAAAAGGATGCTTATTTATTCTGATAATGAAACCTCTGTCCTATTATAGGCCTGCATCCTCATTCTGCTAAATAGAAGAAATACAGCTATAGATATTTGAGGGATTAATTTCACTTTTTTTTGTAAGTAAATGTTAGGAAATCAGCACATGCAGGTTTATAATGGTGCTTTCTGGTCCTCTTCGAAGCAACAGCATAAGCCTGGCAGAATTGTAATTAAATAGAGCAGAACGGTGTTAAGAAAAGAGGTTTGTTTGAAGTGGAAAAATTGACACTACTATTCAGATGCACTGAATGGTACAGATTCATCTCTCAACCAAGGCCATCAAACAAACCTTCACTTCTGATTACTACTAATTAAAAAGAGAAGATGCATCCCCTGTATCCCCAAGGCAAGTTCAGGCATGCTTATTGGAATCTCCTCCAATTTTGTGTGGCCATAATTTAATACCCACTATTTTAATGTAGGCGATTATGAATAATATGTTTTTATCAGGTGCGGGTTTTGAATTGATCTCCTTGTTCTATTGCCTGGTTCCTCTCTGGATCGGTGTAATTTGACTTACCAAAGGAACACCTCTCAATTGAAAGGGCTCCCTGAAACTTGAACTGGATAGTGTATGCAAGGATGGTTCAGAAAGTCTTGCATTAGGCTAGAGGACTTCGTTGCTAAAAATCATGATCCTTGTTTACCTGGGCTTCACAGCCGTCTTCCACGTGGGACCGCAACTGCTCGCTGGTGTAACTG